GACCGTTTGCTTTCCAGACCTGTTTATATGTTTCTTTGTGCTTCACGATCGACCGCCAATGTTTCACGGTCGACCGCCGATATAACCGTTGAATTATAACGACTAGTTTATGATCCGATATTTTGGGGGTATTTTGGTCTTTTCTATGGGGTTTTGGCTGATGTTTTGAGTGGGTATAAATACCCTATTGCCTCTATCATTCTAGACATCTAGAAAATTGTTTAATTAAGTTTACAAGTATTTAAGAGGTGTTTAAAACCTTGTTTCAAGTTTTGTTTCAAAAGGGAAGTTTTATACAAAGAAGTATCTTTCAATTTCAATTGATGAATTCATCCTCATCATCATTTCTTCAGTTATTTGTGTTTGTAGAGAAGTTTTTCTAAACTCTTTTATATAGCTTATTGATTTTCAATTTCATATTCATATCTTGATATATTAAATTGAGTTAGAATTTCATTGTTCTCATTTATCACACATACCCTTATTGAGCTTAGATTATTTCATACAATATATTAGTGGGTGTTGGTGTGTGAATTAGTGAGAGGGATCTTCATTGTGTTCTCATTCATTATAGAGAACAAAACATTGTATTTGAGCTTATATTGTGAGTATCACTTGTAATATACTTGTACACTAAGAGAAGTATGTGGTGAGAGACGGGGTCGAATCCAAGAAGAGTGGTGTCGGTTGACGAACCTAGGAAGAGGTTGTATCCGAGTACTTGAGGAGGAGGACACGGGCTAGAGACCAACACTTAGTGTGTATAATGTGATTGCATAGTGATTGATTGTGAGAGTTTTCGGTGAGCTTAAAAACCGAGTGTGTAGAAGTTCCGGTTTCCAAACCGGGTTGTGATAGTAGACATCTCCTCGAGGTGAGGAGCGGAGACGTAGGTCGTGGGGACCGAACCTCGTGAACATATTATGTGTTTGTGTTTGCTTGGCATTCATCTTTATTTGTGCTCACATCATATATCGCTTTCATCTCTTTATTATGTCACATTTATTTACACTTGTGTTTATATATCCTTGCATATATTTCACCACATAGGATATATCTCTTTGTTCATATTGTACATTCTTGTTCATAACATATTGTATATCTATCTTATAAGAATAATTTATTAATAAGTTTTAATTGGCATAAAATCGGATTAGATTAGCATAAGACCCTAATCACCCCCCTCTAGGGTCTAACAATTGGTATCAGAGCTTGGTGCTCTTTGATTTAAAGTCTAATCAACTTGAGTTAATGATCCAAGTTATCTTTTGTGCTAATCTTGTTTTGATTTTATTTGTATCTTGCTTTCACATATATATCATGAATATGGATGCATTTCATTTAGGCTATGATCCATATGTTGCTCCTAGAATAGATAATTTTCCCTATGACCAATGGTGTTCTAAATTCAATATATTTGTTAGATCTAGACAATTCAATTTATGGAAAGTTATTGAAGATGCTTATATTGTACCCACTTAGGAGAAATCCAAGTGGAGTAAAAACAATAAAATAATGTTTAATATGAACAAGCTTTTGTTAGAGTATTTGCTTAGTGCTTTTCACTCATCATTTTCTAACAAATTTGTTCATTTTGATAGTGCTTACAATTTATGGAAATTTATAGAAGCACATCAAGGGGACTTGGAGGCGATCCGATAAGCTTTGGAGACTTCATCTTTAAGTTCCATTGGAGCATCATGCACACGACCACTAGGTGATAGCCCTTGTGAGGTACGCGAGCTCAACAACGATGATGATATTACTTTTGATGAGCTTGGGTATAAATTTGAAAAATTATTCAATAGTTATATTGAATTGAAAAGTAAGCATGATAATATGAAATCCTCTCATGAAACACTAGTTACTAAGTTTGATCTCATTGCAAATATAAATATAAATATTAAAGAATGAAATGAAAATTTAAGATTAGAAAATGCTAGATTGCTTCATGAAAAATGTGATGCCATGTTAGAAGTAGAGATTAGTAAAAATAAATTAAACTCTATGGTAAATGATTATGTTTATCCTACTTCTAGTAACAATGCTTGTATGCACAATGATGGGTTGAATCAAATGAAAAATGCATATCGACCTTAGATTCAACACTAAACACTTGTATTGCGAATAACAAAAAGCTTATGGATATGTGTGCAAAGTACCATGTTAATTCTTCTAAAAAACCTACACACTATGCACACATGTATGATAAAATTCCCAAATGTTCTATTTGCGGTCTTAAAGGCTATATTGCTAAATTTTATCATAATGCACAAAAGTTTAACAAGCCTATTCATGATTGTACATCCCATCAAGCTTCTTCATCTCATACATATGTACACACACATAGTGTAAATCATAAACATGCTCATGTGTATAAGTATGATTTTTGTGGTCGTTTGGGTCATTTGACCAAATTTTGTTTCGATTTGAAGAAGGTTTCTCGTTTGGAAAATAATTTTAAAGATAAATCTACTTTGCAAATGATTTTCGTGCACCTTATGTTGGTCAACACATACCATTTAGATCCTTTCATTGCACTTATTGCAATCGAAAAGGTCATGTACACGAATTTTGTTTTGACCGTATCCGTGCACAAAATACGCCAAAATAGGTTCATAACTCTAGGGCCTTGGATTTACATGATAGGGGTAATGTCCCTAATTTTATTGGTACCAAAAATACTTGGGTACCAAAATGAGCTCAATCTCATATTTTTGTTTTGTTTTGAATAGTTGGTTTTAAGCTTCAATGTTGATTTTTTTTAATAAGTTAAAATAAAAGTATTTTCATGGATTACTAGCTAACAGTTTTTATATATAATTTCTTATGAAACAAAGTTGTATAAGGATCCAAATGAAAAATTTCATAAAATTCAGCTGATTTCTTTTAGATTCTCTCACGGTCGATCGTGATGGTCGACTGAATATGTTTCTGTCCCAGAGTTTTGGCTCTGTAATTGTCGGGGTTGACTGGCCACGGTCGACTGCACAAGATATATTCAGTTTTTTGACGGGTTCGGATTTCTGTTTGCTAAATGTTTTAAACCCGAATGTGTTATTACCACTGATCTTACCTAAGATTTAATCCAAACCGTTGCTTTATCCCTCACAATGACTCGACCCTCATTCTTCCTGTCGTTCCCAATTTTTTTCAAAATTCCCATCTCCGATCAAAAGCCCATTACGTTCGGCTACCATCTCTTCTGGATCGATCGTGCTCTTCCTCCGGCCATTCTTGCCATTATCTCAATTGGGTAACATCTTTCCTTATCTTTCTCCTTTTCAATATCTATCTTAGGGTTCCACTTTCTCTTTCTAGGGTTTCTGTTTAGGGTTTGTTCCTTCGAGTCTTTTATTGTTGCTCTTATCATGATATCATGCCACCTAGAAAGAGATCCAAACAAGATATTGCATCTTCATCTAGTGCCACTCATTATGAGAATTTTTTTGCTCTACAAGTTCCTAGTCAAAAATTATAGGGATCTTCGTAAGTCAAAAATCTTATTTGGTAGAACTATCAGATATGGTGATTTAGCTATTTACAATATTCCCAAGATGCTTGCTGATATTGGTCTTCATAATTTTTTAGATGAAAAACGTAAAGTTCCACATTATCCATTTCTTGTCTATTTATTTTATGTAAACTTATCAGTCTCCACTACTGCTGATGGACTTCAAACCATCAGAACTTCTGTTAAAAATGTGGATATATCTTTTTCTGCTAGCGAGCTTGCAGGAATCCTAAAGATCCCGCAAGTGACGTTGAGCTCATGTCCATTGATCACACTGATCCGGACATGAATGCCCTTCTGTTTAAGCCCGGTTGCACTTATCCTATGAACAACAATTTATTAAATTTCACCAGTAAAATTATTGCAAGAATTGTTGCTCACAATCTTATTCCTAAAACCGGTAGCTTTGATTATTTTGCTGCAGATAAGGTGAATGCTGTATATGCCATTTTTGCCAAAATAAGAGTAAATTGGGCAAATGTGTTTCTCAAAAACATGGCTTACAAACACTCAAAATTTCTTCCATTTGGCTCCTTCATCACTCTTATCCTCAAGCATTTTGGAGTTGACCTTTCTGGTGAACCCAAGGTTGACCCAAACAAGAAATATTTTGATAGGGTCGCCCTCTCTCGTATGCAACTTTCAGATTCCCTATCTTCTGCTCCTGGAGAACCATCCTCATCCCGACCTCGTTCTAGACCTACTACCATCTCTGCCTCTGAGGTCTTTGACCGTTTGGATCACCTCGAGACTCAGGTCTCGAGCATTCAAAAGGATGTGAGGACATTCCTCAGTCTTCAGCGTCAGTCTCTTTGGATTCAGGATCCCACTCCCGACTATGGCACTGGATCTGAAGAGGGCTCTGAAGAAGAATCTAGCTCGGGCTCTGAATCTGATAACGATGGTGGTGATTGATGATGGTTATCATGTTTTGTGGATATGAATTTATTTTTTTTGAAAAACTTTTGGTGTCTTTCTTTTGTTCTTGGAACTTGAGTTGTAATAACTCTTACTTATGTTTGTTTTTTAACGATGTGATATTTTGTTTTGTGGTTGTGATAACTTATATGTCTTATGACAATATTTATGTATTTTGAACAATGTAGCTTGTTCACATGTCATTATGGCTTCTACATGTTCGATAAAAAATGGTATAGTTGAATGTTGTTTAGTTATCTCTTTTTTTTTATGTCTACATGCACATATCTTATGCATAGGAGATTATTTTTTATGTCTATCTCATGTGTTTAGCCCCTATATGTGTCCTTCATATAGATATTCTTTGCATATTGACAGGAAGAGCATTGTTAATTTTTTATTTCTAATCTGTGCATGAATGCAGGGGGAGTGTTGCTCCTAACTTTTCCCTTTTTTGATTTTGTCAAAGGGGGAGAAAACTATGCTACATTTGTTGATTGGTTTGTTAAATCTACATGTTGTGTTTGGTTTATTCATATGAATGTTTGGTTTATTCGTATGAATGCTATCTCATTTAATAAATTATTTGCCATCATAAAAAAAGAAGAGATTGTTGGCCCTTTAGTTTTGATGATGATTTGCCAAACAATTTATAGCTAATTTATTTTTTAGTGGTTATAGTTTGTTTTTCTTTTCAGGACATCAACACATGGTGAAAAGATATCTATATCAAGAGTTAAAGATTACAGATCATGTGTGTGCATTCTTTAAGTATAAAACTAAGTTTGGTAACGTATGTTGTATGATTATATTTAAGCTTAATGTATATACACACACAAAGTTTGATTTTTTCCTACAAAATGTGTTTTTATCAAAACATTAAAACAATAGTTATTGCTTCTTGTTGACATCTCTTTCATGCCCATAATACATATATATTGTATTCATGAAGTGTAAACAAAATCTCATATGTCATAGTTCATCTTTGAGTTTCATGAAAAACAAGTTTTACTAACATTTTGCAAATACGATGACTTTTTATAAACGAAAATTGCATTTCCAAAAATTCCTTTTCAAACATGTTTATTTTCTCATTTATAAACTTTCCCCAAAATTTTACTACTTTTTGAAAATTATTTAATATTTTTTAACAATTTTTCCAAGTCAGCAAAAACAGGTTTTAACCTTGTGTCAGTTTGCTGTCGACCGTGGCAGTCCACCGTGTGCAGTCCAGAGAGCATTAGATCTCTCGCGGTCGACCGCCACGGTCGATCGTCACGGTTGACCATAGCAAGTCCAGAAGCATCAGCTCTTTCGTGGTCGACCGCCATGGTCGACCGCCTGCTTTCCAGACCTGTTTATATGTTTCTTTGTGCTTCGCGGTCGACCACCAATGTTTCACGGTCGACTGACAATATGACCATTGAGTTATAACGGCTGGTTTATGATTGGTTTATGATCTGAAGTTTTGGGGGTATTTTGGTCTTTTCTACGGGGTTTTGGCTGATGTCTTGAGTGGGTATAAATACCCCATTGCCTCTATCATTCTAGACATCTAGAGATTTGTTTAATTAAGTTTACAAGTGTTTAAGAGGTGTTTAAAGCATTGTTTCAAGTTTTGTTTCAAAAGAGAGGTTTTACACAAAGAAGAAGCTTTCAATTTCAATTGAGGATTTTTCATCCTCATCATCATTTCTTCAGTTCTTTGTGTTTTTAGAGAAGTTTTTCTAAACTCTTTTATATAGCTTATTGATTGTCAATTTCATATTCATATATTGCTATATTAAATTGAGTTAGAATTTCATTGTTCTCATTTATCACACATACCCTTATTGAGCTTAGATTATTTCATACAATATATTAGTGGGTATTGGTGTGTGAATTAGTGAGAGGGAGCTTTATTGTGTTCTCATTCATTATAGAGAACAAAACAATATATTTGAGCTTATATTGTGAGTATCACTTTTAATACACTTGTAAACCGAGGGAAGTGTGTGGTGAGAGACGGGGTCGAATCCAAGAAGAGTGGTGTCGGTTAACGAACCTAGGGAGAGGTTATATCCGAGCACTTGAGGAGGAGGAAACGGGCTAGAGACCAATACTTAGTGTGTATAGTGTGATTGCATAGTGATTGATTATGAGAGTTTTTGGTAAGCTTGAAAACCAAGTGTGTAGAAGTTCTGGCTTCCAAACCAGGTTATGATAGTGGAGATCTCCTCGAGGTGAGGAGCAAGGACGTAGGTCGTGGGGACTAAAACTCGTGAATATATTGTGTGTTTGTGTTTGCTTGGCATTCATCTTTATTTGTGCTCACATCATATATCGCTTTCATCTCTTTATTGTGTCATATTTATTTACACTTGTGCTTATATATCCTTGCATATATTTCACCATATATTATATATCTCTTTGTTCATATTGCATATTCTTGTTCATAACATATTATATATCTATCTTGCAAGAATAATTTATTAATATGTTTTAATTAGCATAAAAATCGGATTAGATTAGCATAAGACCCTAATCACCCCCCTCTAGGGTCTAACAAACATAACACAGGAAGAAACGGCGACAAAGTCTATGTATTCAATATCGTAGTAAGTTGTTATTAATAACACCAGAAGTCATACCTTACAGCATGGGGACCTTTATCTAGATCCCTAAATAGTGATAAGTATGCATCTAACACATGCTGCCTGGTGGCCTATTCCCGTAATAATGGCAAAGTCTATGTATTCAACTTCGTAGCATCAAAAATTCTTGTCTTTCACGTATGGGGAACTTTATCTCGACTCCTAAATAGAGATAAATATACGTCTAACATGCGTTGTCGGGTAGTCCATTCCTGTGAAATTGACCAAGTCTATGTATTCGGCATCATATCACTAAGTCTAAGAAAGCTCATTCTTTTAGCACAACGTTACATGTGGAACAGAATTAGACAATCCACATGCTAGCCCGACTCAAACGATAGTCAGTAAAGACTTATCAAATTCGTTGGTGGCTGAGGGTTTGCCAAAAATCCTATAAATGTTTGCGAGCCTATCAGCTGAATGGATGTGAGCCGTGACGTGGCGTTTGTGAGCTTCTTTTCATGAGTAGCTTGTATAGTCACTACAGTTTCTCCTTGAAGCTCATCCTCACACAGGTCCTATATAGCAAATACCTTCAACCACTATGCCTTCAAAGTGGTGCAGAGAACAACTCATTTATGACAAGGAATCAACAGCTTCAAGATCAGAGTTGAGATCCAAAGTATTTTGAAAATTCATACCAGTCAACCGCGAACTTTGAAAAACTTTGGAGGGGGTTTTGTAGGCTGTCTAAAAATTATTATAGATAGCTGATCCCTATCAAACACCGATGATAAAAGTTATAACTTGACGGCTTCCAGAAGGCTACAATTGGAAAATTTTCATGTAGATCGATGAAGGTTACAATGTGACGACCTTCACAACAATCGATAAAGCTCTAATTCAACAGCCTTCACAATCAACATTAGGAGCTACAATCTGACAACTTTCATATTTTTAAGGAGCCAAGATGAAGGTTACAAGATGTCGATCTTTGCAACGCTCTAGCAAAAGAGACTACAAATTAATGGTCTCTTCAAATCAAAACGTAGATATCTCTCAAACCGTAAGGAATTTGGTGAAATAAAAAGGAGCAAACCAAACCCTATGAAATAGGTTTGGTTGGCTCCGTCTCACCAAGATAGTCAATTTTTATATATAATTCGTTCAATTCCGACTTACGGTTTCAAAGTTATGACCTATTCTTCACAGCAAGTTATGTTCTGAAGTCCGTTTACAAGACTGGACTTCGCCTGAACATTGGACTTAGCCTGAAGCTCGCTAAGCCCTCTTGAGGCTCACCTCTACATTCCAGAGTTAAAACACAGAGTTCATCTCTGCAACCAAATGCAGAGTTTGTAGACTCAAAATGCAGAGTTCATGCAGAGCCCAACTCTGCATTCTAGTCCAGAATACAGAGTTCATTTCTACATCTCAGATTCATAATGCTATGCGAACACGACGTTTTCAGTCTTAAACAGGCCCAACTCTGCGTTTTAGATCAAAAACCCAGAGTTCGAGCCCGGAACGCCATTTTCAGCATTTGACTCATTCAAACATGAGCTGAACGATTTTAAAACCATTTTCCCCATGATTTAGGGAGTGATTCAAAGGGTTGTTACACCCCATTAATAGGGCAACTAAGCCCCCATTAAGGAAAGGATTAAGGGGGCGGTTATACCCCTTAATCCCCTATAAATACCAGAAACTCAATTGAGTTTGAGGATCGACTTTTTTGCATCAAAAAAGATCGCGAAAGGAGAGATCGGCTATCTCTTGAGTAGATCATCTTGGAGGTTCCTTCAGCAACAAAGTTCTTGGAGCTTAGTTCTTGGCTTAAAACAGATTTTTGGTTCAAATCAACTCTGTTACAGAGTTTAAACTCGCTCTGAGTTCTTAAACTCGTTAAGAGTTCTTTTCAAACTTGCCACAAAAGTTATCCTCGATATCAATCAAGAGGAATTAACCATGTTACAGTTAAACAAGACGTTTGGATCGTCAATGAGAAGCAAACTCGATACGAACATCAAGGGAGGCATCTCATAGCTACCGTGAAGAACCCAATTTTAAACAAAGCGGAAGATCTCCGTCGATCCTCTTCTCTTTTGTAAATTAGGATTCTGAGACAAGAATATTATAATTTCTTTTTCTAAGTTTATTAAAGAGAAATTATATTGAGAGAATTGTATTCAATCTTTGTCTAAGCTAGTTAGAGAGATAATACAATAAATCATATTCTCAATTGTCTTCTTACAAATTTTCCCACCAAACACCTCGTGTGAAAATAGGGGCGTCACAGTTACCCACTATGTTTCTAGTTTACTGATGGAAGTAGTAGATATGCTGATTCAAAGAACCTTTGCCATTAAATGTATGTAACGTAAGTGGCTTGAACTTCATCGGATAGGAAGTCATGTCCCACTC